ATTGCAGATTGTTCTTATATTTTTGATTATGATTAAATATTTAAATGTAGAACCCTAAATAATACATACATTTTTCTTCATTAGGTTGGTACTAAATATGTTATTAAAGCTTCATAATTTAGATGTTGAAAAAGGTATAGAAATATTTTACGGACGTTACACGGTTAGGTCACTCTTTTGGGCGGGTCTCAGGTAATTATATTATATTTACAAAAAGCTATTATTTATTTTGAAAGATGAATCCGAGCAACCTTCGATATAAACTATTGTAATTAAGTATATTAGAATTTTCAAACTATTAAATTACTAAAAATGTTTTTTTATATTCTTTATTAAAAATATATTTGTAATAAAATAAAGTTGTCCAACTTTGAAACTACATTTATATTATTTTAATATTAAGAAATACCAACCTACACGTTTATTTTAGTTATAGTTTAGTTCAAACATTTATATTTATGTTAAAAAAATATAAGTAAAAAGTAATTTTGGACAGAAGGTAGAAGAATATTTTGGGAAACTATTGAAGACAATAATTTATATAATTATGAGAAAAAAATCAATAATAGAAAACATGTTGTTCAGAGTAACCTATTTTCTTTGGAATCTGCCAAGTGGTTAGGCATCATTTATGAAACTTACACAAATACTGAATTAAAATTGTTGGGCATTTATTATTATGTTTAGAAGTATATTATTAAAACTTACATTATATTTATATTATCTATTTATATCTAAGACACAACGAAAAACGTTCAGAAATTTGATGCTTGAATATGTCGATGAATACAGAACAAAACTATGGATATGACGAAAATCGCAAATGATAAAGTACTTTAACGATTGCGAAAATATGTGGAAGTCGTTAGTAGTATGAATAAGCAGAAGATAAGTTATCTAGGCCACACTTTAAAGAAAAAATAAAATAAGAATATCTATAGCATATTTTATCGAAAAGTAAAAAGGAAACGATCCCTTAGCTTACTTATCAACAAAAGAATTTTTATAATTCATAAAATGTTAAAAACTATATTATGTTAATATCAACTCATCGACGGATATGCAGTTTATTTTACCAACTATTATTTCTTACATAAATTAACAAATCATACCATACAATATTCAGGAAAAATCACACAAAAACATATCTAGACGCAAATTATACCATTATAAATTTCCAATACAATACCTATAAACAATTATAATTTACTAATAAAAACACAGACCTAACCTTTATGACACTATTTGTTCTAGTTTTCCAAGTTGTATACCTAAAATTGTGCACACAATTAAAACAAAGTGAAAACAAAATGTTTGTTTTTGTGTACGAAAACCAAGATAAATAAAAATACATATATTTTGTATACCTATTTGAAAGTGTAAATAATTTTTGAATAAACTCAAAATAACGGACTGATATATTATAATTTATGTCCAGTTTGAAAGGTTTTTCATTTATGCAATTTCTAAAGAAATGTAAATATTAAATCCAAAAATATTCTTAAATATTAAACCTATTCAAATGACTATACAGTAAGTGTATTATATAAAAGTTCGCATTTTATAAAGAATGTTTGAACATATATTCATATATTTGAACTTACGTTGGTTCTAAGTTATGAGATTTGATGCGAAAGTTATCATAACACCATGATACGACGACTCTATAATAAAAAATATATTAGTGGTATAATCATTCCACTCAATAGAATAGAAGAATTCAAATTATGAGAAAAACTTAAATATACATTTACGTGACCATACCGTGTACTCAACAGCAGCTATATAGTCACTTTAAACTTATTCTTCAAAAAAGTTGGTACACATAACATTTATATAAATATTTAACACAAATGTAAATTTCATAAATGTTTGATAAACAAAATGTATTTTCACTGCAAGTATAATAGGTGCATGACGCATTCTGAACAACATGTTTGTGGTATGAAAACTCAATGGTAAGTAAGTACATTGGTACCTAATTGAAACAATTAAATTTATATTTATATACAGCCTATTCCACGAATTTTCACTTATTCGAAATACTAGAATTATTGTTATTTATATCCCTCCATAGTGCATACCACTTAGTATCTGTAAATATACATGAACAATTCTAGGTAGGTATACTTTACCTTCAATAGCTAATAATATAATTTGCAATAAAATCGGACTTAAAATTCAAACAGCATTGATATAATATTTGTTAACCCATTGGCAATTTTTAATGTGAAATAATTATCATATTATTTTCATCTACGAGCTTGTATTTTATAATAATTGATGTATCAATTCAACTCAAATCAATTCAAAACATTTTTTTCTGAAAACAATACCTTTTGTTTAATATACACATACAATTAATAATCTTGTTTGATAATATACGCAGACATATTTATAATATAATAACTCGATTTAATTAAACAATCAAAATTAGCGATCGTAAACAAAATTTTTTTAAAATTATTTATAATCAACATAATTTTCAATCATATTACACTGCTAAAATATTATGATAACGTCGAAAACATTTTTGTCAATTTCACTAAGTATCTATTTAAAATAATATGCAATATTGCAATAATACTTCATAATGAATAATATTTGAAATTTTGAACTTCGTATTATATAACTATAGCCTATAAAGGTATCTGTTATTTATAATATTGTTTATCATTTATGTTTGCTAAGTGCTAATCAAGGTTAGGTCAAATTATATATAATTATACTATTATACATAAATTATATTATATGTAGAATTATTAACTATTAATGATGGAGCTAATTTCAAATTTTCTCAAATAAAATGAAGTAGATATTATTGGTTTAATATTTAAAGCAAGAACTAAAAAGTATTTTAAAAGTATTTGGAATATTTTTGAAGTATTTTGATACATAGTACGGATACTATTTTTCATAATTATTCCAGTATTTATTTCAAATACTTTTTAAATGTATTTTACCCTAGTTGCCTTTTCTAGTATAAAATGAGTCCTTATAGTAACTGCATTTCTATATAAGCGAATATCGTTCACCGATTAAATAAATATATTGTATGTAAATGCTGAGAATTAAAATTTAAAACGATTAGTAGTTAATTATATGACACGAGTTAAATTATTAAGCATTAGACAATGCAAATGAAAGTTGACGTTAAAAATGACTTATTAGTATGTACCGACATGCCATTAAGTTACTTAGTTGAATATTTAGACCTTTTATTTTTTTTTTTGTTCTCCGAATTTTATAATTTTTAATTTAATCACTGACATGTCCAGTAATAATAATAATTAGACATAATTGCTGTAAATTGTACCAATGACTAAACAAGAGTTTTGTTTAATCAATAATCAAATCTAGACAAAAATTTAAAAATTTAAAAATATTTGAATACAATGAGTTTTTTTCATTTCATAGATCTTAATACATTTTCTTTTTTTTTGTAAGCTCAATATAATTATAAATAAAATCTCGGTAATCTATTGTTGTATTAACACCAAATGTATAATTTTCTCATTAAACCGTTAATTTTTTTTTTTTAAACTTTGTTTAACAAATAGTTTTGAGAATATTACAAAACTTATGCCTATTTACTTTAAACAAAAATTAATTATAATATTGTAACCATAACATTAAATTAAATTGTTGGTTTGTACACACTTTGTATATAATTGTGTTCAGATTTAAATATATTTTCTTTGATTATCGAGATTTAAATAGTTTACAATGCTACCTATTTATGTTGTTTACCATTCGTTAAGCATGTATTTTTCAATTATGCAATGAATTATAAATAGTTAAAAAATGAAAACAATTTAAATTATTTTACATATTATAACTTACATACCTTGAACTTATTATTTTACTGAATATTCATAATAAATTAAAGAAATTAATATAATATATTACCTGACTTTAAAAATATAATCTTAAGCAATTTTAATTCAATTTCACTTGGTACATTAGTACTAATGATTAAGAAGCTAACATGAAAATAGTAAATACATCAAATCGTGGCTACGATTAAACCCCCATGGAAAGAAAAATCTATTAAATAATTGCTTAGATTTTGACGTACGTAAATAAGTTGCATGTCTCTATAGTAAGCAAATAAATTGTGAGAGTAAATGGAAAACCTACCTAAATAAGTTGCATTTTATCCAGTAAGCAAACAAATTTTGATATTATTTCTAAAATTTCGATTAAAACATTGAATGATGTATTCATCTTATTTTATTTAGTTTAAATTGATTAATATCGAACTTGGTCTGTATTTTGTTTTTTTCATTTGTATAGTAAATTACTCTTTAATTTACTCATACAAACACAAAATGAACATGGTAGAAAGTTATAAAGATTTTTTTAATGTTCAAAAATATTTATAACTTCTACATACTAAGAGTTTACTACTATCTTGTACTCTACAAATATTAAAAAGCAAATAACCATAATGTAATTAATTAGTTTATAAGTATGAAAATCGAATTCAAAAATCCTACTTTAATTAGGTACAAATAATATTTTTAACAAAAAAAAAAAAGAGTAATTTCATACAGAGTAAGTGTTATGTTAGTATATTCAGATGTGCCTTATAATATATGGTTATGTCTTGGTATATAAGTAGGTTATTATGTATATAAACTAATTTGTAAAATATACTAAAAAGTAAAAGTATACTAATGTAAACTATACTTTCAATACTTTAAGTAACTTTTTAAAATATGGAGCATACTAATTATGACTAACAAATATTATGTGCTGGTATGATAATAAATAATTACAAAACCGACGATATATTATGTCATATACTCGGTGACATTTGAATTATGAGCTTTCGCGGACAGACAAGCCGTGACGAAACGTTAACACCGTGTGACCGGGTCGAATATAACTATAGTACCTATATACACTACTTATAATATAGTACCTAGGTATACTTGAAGATCTCTACACAATACGGTATCGATGAGAAGTGATCATATTATACTTGAGCTACTTACCGATGACGAACGGCACCAGAGCGGCTGTGCACCACCAACACCACCACGTCGTGATCGCCAGTCCACCGTGGCACGCGGTCGTCTTCGTCATCGTCGTCCGGCGAGCATCGGGAGATGGCGAGAAATAATGATTACGCGTTCAAAAATATCTGGGCAGGCGGCGGCCGGCGGGTCGGCAAAACGGGTTCAAACTTTGGCGGCGGACGGTCGGCCGGTCGGATGTGCGTAAGTCACGACCATGTGTGCCCGGCCGATTTGGTTCGCGAGACGTGGGTCAGGTGTGGGCTCTTCCACGACACTGCCGACCGACAGCTGCTACTACTGCTGCCGCTGCTGTCGACGACGACGACGACGACGGCGGCGGCCACGACGGCGACGACGGCGAAACTACGGGTGCGAATTGCCTACACCCTCACAACCCCGACATGCTGCCCCCGACACACAACCCCCGTGGGGATACCCGTACACATACAGGGAGATTTTCGCCGTTTACTTAGCGCCCGGCTCCAATTACTATACATATATGAGATAATACCCGTAAAGTATAAATGTAGATTAATAATATATCTAAGGTTTTAAAACTTAATACAAGATTAATATTATAAGTTTGTCTGCCTTTATCAAAAAAAAAAAATTCTACTGGAAAGTCGAATTAAATTTTTATAAGCATTTAAAATTGAAATTTTGACAACATTGGATATTCAATCCATTTCTCATATAGTGATTTTGGGTGTTTATCAGTTGCCCCCCAAGGCTATTATCGCGATTTTAAAAATATACCAGTTGCCCCCAATCAAATGTACCAGTTGCCCCCAATTGAATGTACCAGTTGCCCTCACATGTTAATATATACACAAATACATTATATATCTCTTAAAATATGGGAGGTAAATATACAAATCATAAATAAAATATAAAATTCAAAATTATAATAATTTGTTAATATAAAATAGTACAAAATCAAAATATNTGAATCCCTCTACGTACAATTTGAAGCCCAAAATACCGGTACCGACTTATTTCGCATTTATAACACGTTTGTTTATTGTATGTACATATTTTATTTATTTATCTAATTTTCAAATGACCCTATTAACCGGTGTGTGAGTCGAATAGACGAACTTTTTGCTGTGTGTTGGTATATGCACAAATCGGGACCAGCCGTTTTGAGTCTAATAGGCGAATGAGTCAATTAACCGTGAGTCCAATAAGCGGCGACCACTGTATATATACGATAATAATAATATACTGGAATAACAAGAAATACATCGCGTAGTTTGGTAGCAATCATTAATAAATAAATTCAGTATTCACCCGACTCGACTAATTTTATTTGTATACACTTCACAGCACACGTCGGATTTATATTCGTTCGGTCGGTCGCTCGAGCGAGATGAAAGTTTCGTCGGCGTAAAAAAAGTTTATGTTTTACACTCGCTATAGTCGCTGTGTACTCGTTTCCTCTCAAGTCCCCGCGACGTATTGTAATATAATATACATTTTATTGTTATTATATGGTAAAAACCCAACTATATTATTCGTTACTTTTATTATGTCGATTTAATAATATAATAATAATAATAATTTTACAATATTATCATACACTTTACCTAACTGCGCCGAAACGGGGTGATCCATTTAACAAAGACGGTATTATTATTGCTTCAAAAACTACAAAGGTTTTTGAGAATATTTATTTTACATAATTTTAAGTCGTTACTAAACCACATTTTTTCTTTTTTGTATTATGATTTTTTACTATCACTATGTAGTTTAATTTAATTCATTTACATTGTGACTCTCTACACCACCACAAGCTTTGCTTAAAAGTGTTGGTAATTTGTTTATTTTCTTAATTATTTTGTATCATTTCGTGTCAATCAAATAATACATTTTCTTCAAAATTAAAAAAAAAAGAATATTATTCGGAGTATTTTGATCGATAAAAATGAAATTTCGATCGAGTACCTAGTTAAAAGCATTTAATGTTACCTATCTCATAAACTATATGAATACCACCTCTGCTATATTAATATTAAAAAAAAATATTTTTTTGAAAATTTTGTTTTTAATGACTTGAAATTGTGTGGAAAAACATTTTTATGAACGTTAATAGTTTTTGAAATAATGAATGTCGTAAGTTAAATTCACGGAACTCCAGTAAATATAAGCAGTTAGCTCATATATATATGTGCATTATACACCTATATGGAACCGAATCCTGCAAGTCCTAAAATATTATTCCATCGTTGTTATACTCGTAATACGTGTCACGCATTCACGTGAATATATTAAAAATATTATTTCGAAGGAAATAAAATTTAAAAAAAAAAAATGGATATTGACGTACAGCGAATAAGAGTGGCTTGGAAAATTAAATGTATAAACGATGTTGTCGTTGGTTTCGACTTGCGAGCTGCAGGTAAGTATAGGTAACACACAAAGTGGGTCAACTTTTTGGACGCGTCTAGACATGTAATTATGGTTGACTACACACATAAGCATATATTATTATACTACAATATACTTATATACACATATAATACAGAGTAACTATTATATACCCTCAGTATCATAATACACATGACGCGTTTTTATGATTTTCACGGGAAATATAATATTTTATATAATATCAAGTATGCAATCATTTTTACTTGACCTCACTTGACAACGGTCGGTTGGTAGGTACATATAATATAAATAGGTATACAAATAATCAGTAGCAGATACTATTATGTTATATACTATAGTATTATATTTACATATTTTAATACATTCCAGAAAAAAAATTCAAGGGGTTGCTAGATTTCAACCCTGCGGGGCGCATAAAACAATATACCGTGAACTTGCACCTAGATTTTGAATATTTTGGATCGATTCGCCTTGGTACATTATAGGTCTGGAGTATAAATAATCGTGAATGGCGTACTCAGGTTAATCTTAAAATGTCTGGAATATAATTTTAGCCGATGTCTCAGCCATCTTATATAATGAACTAATGGGTGTGCTAAGTACTTATAATGTTCATGGTCAGGAAGTGGGTCCCTGTGGTGGTTCCGATTGTCATGTTTTGCACTGCCTCGATGCTTTTCCAATTTAAATCGCTAATGATTAGGCCTCATGCCGTAGCGGCGTATAGAAGGATGGATTTAAATAATGGTTTAATATACATTTTGAAGATGCAGAGTTTAGTTGTCATCGAAATGGGTTATTTACTATTCAGGATTGGGGTATAGTGCTGCTCTGCTTTTTGGACACAAATCTTTATGTGTTCGTTGATAGGTAATTCTAGTTTTCCAAACGATTACTGTATTCGGACTTGATGACGCTTTACGGTTTGTTCCAAAGAGTACATATAACATTGTGCGTTTAGCTTTAAGAGCTATGTTGAAATCCACCAAGTTGTAGTGGTTACATGTCGATGAATACTAATTATTGCTATGTTCTTTGATGTGTTGCTGGAATAGAACATAGTGTTGTCAGCGAATAACGACGAGGTAGATACATGATGACTGATGAGTCGTTAAAAGATCATTGATATAGGTAGTGAATGTATAGAATGGAAGTGGGATATGAGCCCTGTGGGACACTTGCTCCTATAGTTCTTAACGTTGATAGGCGGTCGGAAATTTGGATTCTATATACTAGTAGATTCTGTTTGATAAGAAGGATTGAATGATTTTTATTGGGCATGTACCAGTTGCCCACAAAAGTACCTTTTTTATACCAAATCCTCAAACTACCTAGAGGAAAAAGTACCAGTTGCCCTCACATGTTAATATATACATAAATACAATATATAGCTCGTAAAATAAGGGAGGTAAATATACAAATCATAAATAAAATATAAAATTCAAAATTATAATAATTTTTTAATATAAAATAGTACAAAATAAAAATATAATAATTTGTCAACATATAAATAGTGTAAAATTCAAAAGTATTATGTTTTGTTATAATAATTACTAACCGATTTTACAAAATCTAATCTGCTAATATTTTTGTTTTTATATTTATTTTATCGGATACAATAATTGACGGATTAAATTCAAGTTCAAAGCCAGAGCATTTTTCTTTTAACATACTAAATAACAATTCATACGTTTTCGATGATTATATCCACTCAGACGCATCTAAAATTACATGTTATGTTGACAAATTATTATAATTTTGAATTTTATATTTTATTTATGATTTGTATATTTACCTCCCCTTCACCCTCCCCTAAAACATTCGATTTAGAGAGAAAACTTTCACAAACGGTTTCGGTTTATATTTTATAAGCTTACGAAGAAGAACGTTTAGCCAATACTTCTGGCGGAAACATTATACAATTATCTGTGTTTATACTTTATAGGTAGGTACAACTCATAAACGATAAAATAACTTCGGGTCCACAGTTAATATGTTTAAATCAAAAGTCGAAAATTGTGTCTACAACTTAAATGAAAAAAATAATGGTTTGTAAAATGTTATCGCAACAAATACATTATATTGCTAAATGTCCAAATAAACACACTCAGCTTAAGAACTTTGGTAGCGTAGAATACTAAGTCATATCCATATTTCTTGTTTAGTATGTATTGTAATCGTTGAAAATTACTGAATAATAAATACCAATACAAGTTTGCACATAAAAACTACTTGGCTAAGAATATGATATAAGCTATTCTTGATGTACACATTTGCTAATAAAACAATACGTAAGACGACCGTTTTTTAAGCTATTATAGTTCTTTTAAATTTGAAAAAAAATTAGGATGAGACTGCAGTATAGAGTTGGAAAAGAAATAAAAAATACCAGCAGGGATAAAATTATTTCCAAGCAGATTTTTGTCCCCAATACCTTATTTATAGGTCCCTACTTATACATTTTAAAAAAGATTATAACTTGGAAGTGTTTTTTTTTTTTGTTATTACTTATTAGCCATAATTAAATCAGACTTAAATTTAAAACGAAAAAGAAAAAAATTGACGTTACAAATTTTACAATTTTAAAGTCCCACGTTTCTATAAACCGTATAAGTACCTTCCTTGGCCTAACATTTTTCTCATGTTTCGAGTGATTTGAAAAATAGCGACCAATGAAAAATAAATATTACAACGCCTTGTACCAAAAATGCGCCATGTCTTTTCAAAAGTTCGAATGTAACATTCCGTGTGTACTGTACAGTGTTCAGTTTGTACATGGTATGAACCTACAGTGGTATATTCCATAGGGATGCACACATTTCGCCACAAACAATTTCTCGTGGTGTCGAGCCACAGACACAGTAAGTACGCTTCTACGAAAACACCTGTCAGATTGGAGAAACCAAATTACGGTTTCTTGTCTTATC